TTTTTTCTTTTTGCGATTCGTTAGTCCTCGCGTGCGTTATACGTTGTAACTTCGTCGTGCGGCGAAGTAAGGGAATAAAATGCATACAATCAACGATTTCATCTGCGGCTTACGACAGATGATAAAGCCGCTAGATATGGATGAAATATGAGGACGAAGTACGCGCGTACGTACCTTCATGAAAGGGAGTACGAATCGGGACATGTAGAGAGCAAATAGAATCGACGGCGCTTACGAAAACGAATGCGGGAAGATCGGTCCATTAGTATGGATCGGTTTTTCGCATTAGCAATATTCAAATGAAGCGAACATTTGGCATAAAAGACTACCGAGACTACCTAAGAGAGAAGGTGGTGAAATGTAAACTCGCCCGGTTCGATAAAAAACAAAGGATGAAAATGATTGTCCGGTATATGGAATATTTTTCTTTTCCCCCGTCAATCTCCACGCGTAAAAATATTTAACAAACTAAATTTCTTTAGTTTGTTGTCTAGAATATCTAGATTATTTACGTAAGAAAAATTATGCGAGGAATCGATATTTTCAAAAACTTGCGTCGTTTTTGCGCAGGCGAGATATTTTTCAATTAATTTATACGTATTATTCTTTTAACCGACATTTTTTCTTATCATAATATAATAATAATAATAATAATAATATTAAATTAACTTAATGATAATATTAAAATTTTAATTGATTACTCTTAAACTGCACTGAGTTGTGTGAAAACGAATGATCGTAAAATTTGTATGGATATTATTCACATTGCGACGCAAGTATATTAAAAAATTTTTGAAAGTGTCTCTTTCCAGATAAACAGTGCCTTTTGCAGAATAAAAAATTTCTTTTTTTCTATTGAAAAATTAACCGCGATATATCACGATAGTAATTTATTGAGAAAAGCATTTTCACGATCCTATATTCCGACCGGATGATTCGTTGAACTATTGGCGTGGAGCTAATGCTGAATTATTGGTATCCCCGAAAGGGATGCGGGATTAACCGCGCGCTAAGAGTCATGCCTCACAATCAAATGTGTTGCCGAGTTGTGTACGAAGCTCGTTACATATTCTGTGCTAAGATGTGTAATTATTGCGAATTGCTTAAGGATAGCGAGATTAACATGTAACTGCGATTGCCTGATACTCATAAATAATTGCCATGCATTTCTCATCTTTACGTCGATGTATATTATAATGTGATGAAATTAGAAAAGCTAGCTTAGAATGAAAAGAATTTGAGTATCTTCAACGGTGAAATGTTTAATGAATTAACGTTCCTGAAAGTTGTATAAATTAATCTCTGACGAAGATTAACATTCTCATTTTGCGCGAAAAATAAACGAGAAATGAGAAAAGGCGCGCGCGCGCGCGTTCCTTTCTGTCCATTTAAAATTGTCGATTTGGAATCGACTGTGACCATCCCATTGTTCTGTCTACGAGCGAGACGATGAGAATACGAGGAAAAAGTCAGACCAGAAAGGAATTCGAATTTCTCGGAGCTTCCCCAAAGAGGAAGCGGAGAAATAACTTCGAAAAGGTCCCGCGAAGGCTTGGCAGAGGTACACGACGGTTCAAGAAGGGAGAGAAGCAAACAAACCTACTTCAGGTACAGTCGGTAACAACCCGGCACAGAACTAACGGAACCCGTTGCGTTTCTTGAAGAAGGTCGGCCCGGATCGAAATTAAGTGGCGGCAGTTAGGAGATATGTCAGACGAGTTTTATTAAGCGGCATAAAAAAAGAGATTTGTAGTCTGACTGAAGGAAACGAGGGTGGTGGGGGAAAGGGAGGGGAGGGAGAGACACCTTACTCCGCGGGGTAGATCGTCCCGCGAAGCGAAGACGATTCCTCGGTTGCGGAGCTCGTCTACGCCGGCAGTAAAGAATAGGGAAGGCAGACAAGGGGTCGAGATATGAATTTATTATTAAGGACTGCCTAAGGGGCGAAGTACCCCTGTTTCTTAATATCCGAGCGCGGTTCGCGCGTCGGTGCCTCGCCTCGCCTTTTCTCTCCCCTGTGAGGGGGGCCCCTTTTTTCCCTCGCGACATCACGAGACATCTTCCTCACCTCCCTCCGTGTCTGTTGCTCCGCGCGAAGAAGCTCGAATTTCCTGGCTAATTTATTCCGTGGTCGCGAGTCAAACTGCTATTTGTAGCGGCATTGAGGCACGAGCTTAGCGCGCGAGAAGTGACTGGGGGTGGAGTGGGGTAAAACTTACGGCGTTCGCCCGGATAGTAACAATATCGTATTCATTCGGCTCCTCATCTCCTCCCCTTCGCCATCCTTTCGCCGCTCCCATCCCTCTGTGATTTCCTCAGACCGAGCGTCGTATACATAATGCAACCGTCCACCCCTGCCGCATACACTGTACGCCGATTCAACCCCGCTCTGCCGCTGTCGCTGCTAAGACGCGGATTTAATAAACGGCTGTTACGCGGCTGCTTTGTCGGCATCCGTAATGTCATTTTTCACTCCCCTTAATTCGGACGTGCTTGCTTATGCATGGAGATAGTATCCTTTACACAGGATCTACCGGGAAAAATGTGTAACACTAAATTAATATAAATAATGTAAGCACTTAAATAAATAACGAGCGTAATCCCGCAATATCTTTATTTAACACTTGGCGATTTCTTCTTGATTTGTACGATTAAATAATAATAAAGTTATTACTTTTTATGAATTTATGAGGATTACTGAATTAGTCTGTCGTTAAAATATATCGCGACATCATATTAATTTCTCTATCGTGATTATTCGATTCTTTTAATTGAAAGATTCGATTCTTTTAATTTTTAACATCTAGGTCGATTTTAATATTAATAATACTTTTTTACTCAACATAAATTGCCCATTACTACTAATTTTCTAAATTTGCACATTTTAGAAGTGCCGTAAAACGTACGTCGCAAAATAATTATAATGCGACTCGAGACTGTAAAAATCCGTTAACGCTTAACAAGCTCTTGATGAAATTCTTGCAAACGGAAAACTTCTCGTTGTACTCAAATTCCTCCTGCAAATCCATACCGAGTTGCCGGACTTTGAAAACTTTCGCGGTCGCGTGGTATCGTGGCTCGCAAAGTTCTACGAGCTTTTCATTTGGATTTGAGAATTTCACTAACGAATTCTTCAGCGTAAGATGCAAACGAAGTCGTGGCCCAGTCGTGACTTTGATAAATTTGTTGTGAAACTCTTTCTGCACATGCATTCCGGACGCCGGTAACGTGGTGGCACTTAGCAATTTTGCCGTCGGAATTACACGGAGGAACGAATTTCAACCGAATTTTATCTCGTTTAGATTTTGAAACGTTGCCGGCAAGCATTTTCTCGCTGATATTCACGCAGACAATAACTCTCTCCGAAGTTGTATTCTTAACTTATTCGAAAGGTATGCCGCGAAGAAATATTCATACTCATTGCTTTTTAACTCTATTGATATTCTTATTTCTTGGATAATTTTAGAATATCAGACAAGTGCAATTGTTCCGTAATTAATCGCTCGATTATTACAATATTATCCCAATTAAATACTGTTACATTTTTCCAGTGAGATGCTATTTTTTGATACTTACAAGTTTGTCTTGAAAAAGATGAAGCAAGAAAGAAATTGGTCATTTTTGTGTGACATAAATTTCGAACGTTATAACGTTGCGTATATATTTTACGTATAATAATGAAGCTACACTTGATGACACATTGTACAATATTTTTTTTTTTATATAGACCTGTCACTTAGTGACACACGATAATAACACGCGAAATTTCGTATAATCGTGTAACATAAATTCGTAGGATTAAAACTGCAACTCCCACCCGGTGCCTTGCGGCACGAATTCGCGGCAAGTATAACAATTTACAATGGATGAGATTTCGCGTTGAAGGACTCGCTCTAGTTAAATTCTTTATCTCGAGAGACAAACATAACCGCTTGCTCTCGGTGGGAACTACTTTTGAACGACGCGATATCGCCAAGTTCTCTATTACCGCGGCCGCTTTAATTATGAATTGATCAGACTTCCGCAAACTCGGCAGACACAAAACGGAACGTCCCACCGATGGTCACACCTTTCTATAACTTCGCACGGGGGCGTAAAAATTTTGTACCGGGTTGTATGGAGACCCGCTGTCTACCTTCGGGGCATGAGTTCGTGCCGCACGGCCGAAACTTTAACGTGGAAAGCCTCGGGGTCGCTTCGAAACTTTTGTCCTCCTCGTTGAGTCGCGATTCTTAGTAACCCCCGATTCAATAAATTATTTATGATGCAATGGACGAGCAATCTTACACCCCCGTTTACTATACCTGGGATACG